ACAGCGGGGCGAGTCGGGTGTTGCCTTTGATCGTGTGCAGGGTCCTGAGTTCGATCTGACTGACCGTAACGTGCTAAACCATGTCTTAGGGTGGATCTCGGCGGGCCTTGTAAAGGGTATCTGGTGTGCCTTCCCCTGCTCGTCGTGGTCTCACTGTGAATTCGGCGGCCCTGGTGCTTGCGTGGAATTCCCGATCCGACTGTGGACCAAGCCAAACGCCTTCGAGCGGGAAGCCGTGCCTTGGCGAACGCGCGGCGGCTCATCCGGGCCTGCGCGCGCGTTCGTGCCCCGGTTATGTGTGAGAATCCACGCTCCTCCTTGGCCTGGAAAGAGCCAGGAATGTGCAGGCTTAGGTCTCTTCCTCAAGCGCGTGAATTTGTGCTGGATCAGTATCCTTTTGGAGCTAGATGGGGGGAACGGGCTCAGCTTGTGGGGTGGTGGACGCCAAGTCTGCCCCGCGTCAATCGCTTCTGCCACGGGCGCGATGTCTGCTGCTTCTCGCATCGTCCGCGCCTTGTCCCTGTCGGCAAGATCCCAGGGAGCTCCGTGAATTGGACCGCCGTTGCTTCTCAGTGCTCTCGGAAGTTCGGACAAGCTGGCGCAGCCTGGCTCTCACGTTCGGTGAATCCGCTTTATCTGTCACGCCTTTCGGCTGCCGCAGGCGATAGAGGGCCCCTTTACAGATTTGCGACCCCCGAGCACAGTAGGGGTCTGGGAGGTTTTCCTAGCATGTTGTGGCCTCGAGTTCCTCGGTTCTCGCGGCCCCTTGCTCAGTTCGGTTTGGTCATCAAGCTGTTGCGCGCAGACAGAATATGACAAATCAGCTCGGCGTGACATATAGTATATAATGTTCTTCGAGCTTGTCACACCTGGTTTTAGGGGATGAGGATGCACTTGTTCTCTGAGCTCCATTCCCTTTCCCTTTCGGCCGCCGTCTCCGCGGCCCAAATGCACCGCCGCCGCCGTTCCCACCGCTCTCCTTCTTTTTAATGTTGTCAACTGGAGGTTGTCTCAGGGAGGTTTTCTCAGCTTGTTGTGGCCTCGAGTTCTTAGGTCCTCGAGGCCCCTTGCTCAGCCCGGTCTGGTCGTCAAGCCGTTGCGCAGACAGGGTATGAACAATCAGCTCGATGTGACATGTGTATGTAATGTCTTCGAGCTTGGCACTCCTGGCTTGAGGGGATGAGGGTGCACTTGTTCTCTGAACCCTTTTTCTATTTCCATTCGGGCGCCGTCTCCGCGGCTCAAGTGCACAGCCGCCGTCCCCACCGCTCTCCTTCTTTTGACTGATGTCAATTGGAGGTTGTCTCAGGGAGGCTTTCTCAGCTTGTTGTGGCCTCGAGTTCTTAGGTCCTCGAGGCCCCTTGCTCAGCCCAGTCTGGTCATCAAGCTGTTGCGCAGACAGATTATGAACAATCAGCTCGATGTGACATGTAGTATATAATGCTCTTCGAGCTTAGCACTCCTGGTTTGAAGGGAAGAGGAGGTATGTAAACAGTAGTCGGACTCGCACCTAAAAGCAGTCCGTATCTGAGTCACCTGGCCTTCCATAAGCATCAAGTGCGCGCTCGAATATGTTAGACATGTTCTTCGTTTCCATCTGTAAGGAGTTGTCAACCACATGTGGTCAAGGGTCGCATATGGGGTGCACAGTGGTGCCTTACCAGGCAACCCCCGCTGAGGGGATGCACATCGGACGCACGTGCACATACATACGTCTACATGCATGCATTCATACGCGCATATGTATATAGTGTTCATTTCACCGAAGAAATCAAAACTGAGTTGCGTCATTGCTTCCAAACTCTGGGGTGGTCCCAGGACGTGTTCTAATGTTGCTTGAAGCGATCTTCACATTTTTTCGGCGTTTGTCCCCAGGCCCAGTACTGTTTTTAATTGCGGCCAGCCTGAGCTCGGCTCGCATGTCGCGTTTGCTAAGACGCCACTATTCGGTCGCTGCGGCTTTATACTCTGTCACGTTATGTACAGTTTTTTGTTGTTGTGCACATCCGGTTTGTTCGGTTCTGCTCTCGATGGGGCGGCGTTGTGTCTAATCGGTCGTTGCTGCGCCTATTTTTGTCCTGTGGTCAGCATTACGTCGGCGTGGATGCTGCGATTGCCGGGTTGCAGTTGATCTGTCGTTCATGTCTTTACCTTGGTCAGCAAGTCTATAATCCATCATCATATAGTGTCTTAAATGGTATTCTGTGATTTTGTGCTCTCGACGGGCCGGCATGATGTCATGACGCTTGTCACGTTGGATGCGTCGTCCAATCGGTCGTTGTTGCGCCTGTTTGTTCCTCTGGCCAGCAAGGCCTCGGCACGCACGTCGCGTCTGATGATATTACGGTGCGGCCGATTATGTTATGATGCCCATTTTATGTGCCTCCGTGCAATGGTGGGGGCTGTACAATATCGTGTTGTATCTTGTTCGCTTGGAACCTGCCCCAATGTAGTAAATGTATAGTAGTGTATCCTATTCTGGACGGACTGGCGTCACGTCGTGACGCCTGATCGTTCTGTCGTCTAATCGGTCGTTGGGGCTACTGGCTGTTTCTGTGGCCAGCATGTGGTCGGCGCGCGTGATATATGGTAGGACAGCGTTACTAGGCCTCTGCTGTAATCTACTCTATGAAGCGCTGTTCGGTTCTGGTCTGTTCCATGCACATTTGGTTTGTGTTGTTCAGCTCTCCATTGGACAGCGTGACGTCGTGACGACTAGCGTGGCTGCGCATTTCCTTGTCTTGTGGCCGGCATTACGTCGGCATGGGTTCTGCGTTTGCCGGGGCGCAACTAATTGGTCGTTGTTGTATTCAACCGTATCCCAATATTGTATATTGCATGCTGACCTAGTATGTTACACTGCGTTCTGCTAGGTTGTGTTCTCGACGGGCCGGAGTGACGTGGTGACGTCCGTCACGCTAGATGCGTCGTCCAACCAGTCGTTTTTGCAGCTGTTTGTTCCTGTGGCCAGCCTGTCTTCGGCGCGCACGTCGCGTTTGTTTATGTTGAGGTTCTGTCGTTCATGTCAGGATGTTCCTCTTCAATGGTGGTTCGCGCGAATCTGGTAGAGTAGACTATGCTATGCTGAGCTATGTCATCGTATGCATTGTTTTGTTGTGGTATGGCCGTACGATATTCTCTGTGATGTTAAGGGTGACGTCATAAAATATTGACCATGTTATTCGATGTCCTGATCCGGTTATGGCTTTCCTTTTTTCAATTCTGGTATGTCATATGGCGAAACATCATGGTCTTTGCTTGGGTTACCGCATTCGTTACACATTTCCAGTATGTTACGTGGGTTATGGTGTGCCAAGCCCATGTTATTGTACTATGTTCTGAACTGTCATGACATCCCTCTCCGAAGTGAATCTGTCTAGGTTGTTCGAGTGCTTTCGCTGCCGCCGTAGTAGCATGTTCTCAGAAAGTCTGGTCTGGTCTGTTAATAGTAGTTGTTGCTCCCTTTTGCCAAGCACTGGTTTGCTTTGTATGTGCTGATCGATGAAGTCGTACGATATGATGTAGCATGTCCTGCTGCATTATTTTCGAAGAGGCTGTATTCTATCGCTTGCCATGTTGCATGCCTGGATGGTATGTAGCGTTGTGCCGTGGTTTGGTGTGGCATACTGTGTTGTGATATGTTTTGTAACGCTGTGTTGTGTCATGGTATGGTGTGCCATGCAAACTTATGGTATGGTATGATCCGTCATGCGATGTTACGATTTGCGATTTCGCGTTTCACCGTGTGATGTCATGGTGGTATGGTTTGATTTAGTGCCTCGCTTCTTAGCATGTCATGTTTTGCCGTACGATGCCATACACTGTTAGATGATGATGCGGTATGATATGATATGCGATGCCATGTGACTTTCATGTGTTCTCTTATTCGATGTCATGTTGTTCCTATTCTGCGTGGTGCTGCTAGCTATATTCTGTCATGCTCACAGGTGCGGGAGTCTCGAGGATTCTCTGTGAACCTTGGGATCTGGCGGCCGCGGTATGCAGAGTGGGCGAGTCGGGTCTGGAGGCGCGGGTGCCTCGGGGATGCTCGGCGGACCTTGGGATCTGGCGGCCGCGGTATGCAGGGCGGGCGGGTCCGGAGGTCTGTTCTTGAGAACTAGCGACAGCTACATGTCGGGTTGGGAAGCAACAGTGTCGGGCGAAGCACGGCGTCCAGGGTGTTGTCTAGAGATCCTTAGATCCCGGTTCTAGGCGGCACGCGAGAGAGGAAGTGCACGAAGAGAGGGCGGAGGACAAGGGAAACGATGAGGGCAAGGAGGAGGGCGAGGAAGCGGAGGTGTGTGTTGAGGTGGAGAAGCGGGCGGCAGGAGCAGGGAATAGGGCAACAGAGCTGGACGGGGGACCTGAGAGCGAGAGAGACGGGGAGAGGAGGGCCCAGGCATACGGCGGCATGACTTTTTCGAATCATGGGCCCCCTGACCTCCCCACCCAGTCTTCGGTCTCGTGTGCACCCTGAGTCGCTAGAGCTGACGGACGGTCCGGCAGGACCGAAACCCTTCGCCCGGCACATCTTCCAGACCCGCCAGAGCTCAGAGATCACCGATTTAGCTCCGCCCGAGCTGTTCCTCATGCCTTGCCTTCGCTTTCTTCTTGTTGGTGCGCATGACCTCCCGTGCGCATGTGTCCGCGGCAAACTCCGAAGTCTATATCCTCGCCGATAGGCCTATCGATGAGCGGCGGGGGTACGGTTCGGAATTCTTCGAACACGTGGCGAAATCCGAGTTCTGGACTACAGTCAACCCTGAAAGTAAGGATGAGCGACTTCCCGAGGGTGCCCTTGCAGCCTTCCCCTTCGGCCCCTCTTCGGCCACTTTGGCTGGCTGCGCCCCGCTCGGAAGGTGTCGGCATGTGGCCTTCCAAGGCCCTGGCATCCTCATCGTGTGGCTTCGTTTTTGTCGGGGTGGACTGCAACCCCGCCTCCAATCGATCCAGGAGAATCGATGGTCGGTGGGGGCAGCGCTCGGCTGTCGCCACCCGAGGAGGCCGCTGGGCTGCGGGCGGAGAACGAGCGCCTCCGGGGCGAGGTCCAGCGGACCCGCGCGGAGCTCGAAGCCTGGCTGGGCGGGCGGGCCCGCGCGGAGCTCGAGGGCGGACGGGGCCCGCCGGCGGAGCCCGAGGCCACCGCGCCTGCGGCGGGGGCCCACGCGGCGGCGCCGGAGCCCACGGCCGCAGCCGAGGCCTGGCAGAGTGCAGCGGGGTCTTCGGAGGAGGAAGAGGGGCCCAGACCGCTCCCCCCTGCCCGCATTTTCCCCTTCTCGGGGCCCTCCTGGGAGGCCGTCGTCGCCACGGCTGGATTCGCTTCGGAACTCTGGTCAGACGCACCCCAGGAGGAGAGGTCCAGAGAGGAGCGGTATCAATTCCTTTTGGTTTCCACAGGTCCGCGGGGACCGCTGCGGCGGCGCCGGGGCCAGCTGCCCCGGTGGACGCGGTGCCCGCCGTGGAGCCTGCTGCAGCGGCGCCAGGGCCGGCGGCTCCTCCAGAAGCGGCGCACGCTGCGGCGCCAGAGCCCGCGCGCGCCACGGACCCGGCGGCGCCGGCCGAGCCAGCCCAGCCCGAGGCAGCTGCTCCCGCCGCACAGCCCGCTGCAGCAGAAGTCACAGCGGCCCCGCAGCAGGCCGCCCCCACCGGGGTGCACGGGGAGGGCCTGCGGCCCTTGCAGCCGGCGTCGGGCACGGCGCTTGCGGTCGACCCTGCCCCCCTGCGCGACGCGGCAGCCGCGGCGCCCTCGGCGGGGCTGCCGGAGCTCTTGCCGGAAGGCGAGGCGCGGCTCGGCGGGCCGGCGCCGGGCACGGAGTTTGCCGTCGAGCCGAGCGCCCCGCCAGCAGAAGTACCTGCCGCAGAGCTCGCTGCGGCGCCCAGCCCATCGGAGGCTGCGTCCGCGCCCGATCCCGTGCCCTCATCGTCCATGGAAGCCCCCTCGTCCTCTGCGTCCTCGTCCTCCTCCTCCTCCTCCTCCTCCTCCTCCTCCTCACACTCATTGCCCCCTGGTTTGTTGTTTGCTCCTCCTCCTCCGAGTTTCGCTTGCTGGTCTCTGCTCCCTCGTTTCTGCACTCTCTTCTACTCGACCTCCTTCCATCAGCCGGGCTTCTCCTTGGAGACTGGGTGCAACATACCTCCATGCACATGTTTGCAAGTCTGGACCCCAAGCTTCTTGCACTATTGATGTGGATTAATTGTGTGATGTCACATGTGCATCGTGCAACCTGCCTGTTGCAACCATTGCATTTTGAATTATGGGCGGTATGACCCTCATCTGGCGCAGTATACGGTATGCAATTTGTTTTTGTGCACGCTACGTTTTAAACTAGCTATGTGGTGCAAGTCGTGTGGTGCCAGGCATGTGATGCGATGTCTGTTGTGCATTCTTCACCAGATCGGGTATGGAGTGCAATGTACATGGTGTAGTATCAAGCGAGCGCTGGTTGTGGTGCAGCGTAACTATGTGGCGCAAGCTAGTGTTGCATGCGAGTGGAGATCTGGCGGGGGATCAATCAGTGTCTACCTGCGAGGTGCAATCCATGTCGCACAGTACGCATTGCAATATCTGTGGTGCCGTCTATGTGATGCAAGCTATATGATGCAAGCTCGGAGGTGCAAGCAACGCGGCACAATGTGTGTATGTGTGTGTGTGTGTGTGTGTGTGTGTGTGTGTGTGTGCGCATCCGAACGCTTGCTCGCGGGCGTCGCTGCCGTCAGTGATCAGTGGCGGCGACGATTCTGCCAGGAAGGAGGGCGCGATCAAACAATTTTGAAATGTTTGGATCGTTTCCCGACGGCCTTTTCCCGCCGTCAGACACCTATTTGTACAACCGGATCCTCCGTGTTGTTCCTGTAGCCGCCATCCTACGCTGGGAAACCTCGAACCTTCAGGCAGGCCTCAGATGAGGATAGCTCGATTCAAAGCTTTCTGGACAGCTTTCTGAGCGCCCTTGAGCGCTCTGGAACTGCCGCGGCCCCCGATCGGTGTTTCAGACCCGCCAGCTCTCAGAGATCTCCCACTGGCTTGGATTCCCAGATCGCAATCTTCTTCAGGTGCCCTTCTACTTCAATCGACGAGTGGTTTTCTCATTCACTTCCTTTTCAGGGGGCGGGCGGAGACCCAATCTACGTTCAACGCCTTCCTACTTCATGTTTCTACTCACTTCTCCGACAGGCGTGTAATCTGAATGTGTCCTCATGTAACTTCGTCTGAATTTGGGAACCACTCAAGAGAAGACCCCCTCCTCCGCCTTCTTTGAAGCCCGATCCCCTTTCGCCACCCCTCCTGTGCTCGCCACCATTCATCGTTGTACTACATGTAGGTGACCTCGATCCTCCTCGATCTGCGATCCTCGATCCCTTGTCCTCCTCCGTATCCTCGACTATCAGACCGTCCTCGATCGCAGGCACCCGGCGACTTTTGACCTTATGAGTGCGCGACCCCAGAGGTCCCGGCTCCTTCCCCCGGGGGCAGTGTTCCTCCCGGGTTCTTCTCTGATTGCCCATGGGGCCCGACGGCGGGCCAGGTGAGGCCGAAAGGGAGGAAACGCGCAGGGGCTCCACAGATCATACCGTCGGAGGTCTGATATCTTCGATCCTCCTCGATCCTAGATTGTCCTCGATCCTCTTGGGTCCTCCTCGATCCTCGATCCTCCTCGATCTTCGATCCTCCTCGATCCTCGATCCTCCTCGATCCTCCATCCTCGTCCATCTTCGATCCTTCTCGATCCTCGATGCTCCTCGATCTCCGATGCTCGAGCCTGGCTCCCCCCCCCCGCCCCCACAAGGCTCTGCGCGCCCGCGCCAGCAGAGTGCTCGCCGGCGCGCAGCAGAGCGGGGCACTCCGCTGCGCGCTGGACGAGGTCGGGCTCTCCCGCGTCGGCGAGGCGCGCGCGGACCCCCTCAGCCACGCGCAGAGGGGCCTGGCATCGCTCGGACGTGTGCGTTTTTTCCTCGGCGAGGACCATCGAGGAGCATCCTTGATCATTTGCCGAAAAAACTGCGCACGAAACCAACAAAAAACACAGGGAATGGACGTCCGAGCGATGGCCAGGGGGAGGGGGGGCAGAGGGGAAGGGGGGAGGCTTCTCAGAGTCACCCCTGCTTCTAACATGCTGTCCCCCCTCGCTGTATCCCTTTGAACGCGCCGCCACCCCCGCGGGGCGCGTCGTCGTCGTCGTCGTCGTCGTCGTCGTCGTCGTCGTCGTCGTCGTCGTCAGCGTCAGCGTCAGCGTCGTCGTCGTCGTCGTCGTCGTCAGCGTCAGCGTCAGCGTCGTCGTCGTCGTCGTCGTCGTCGTCGTCGTCGTCGTCGTCGTCGTCTGTCTTCCCCTGTCTTGTAGATGCGGGAGGGCTTCGAGTTTCATAGGCCTCTGGGCGTTTGCCGCTCCTTTTGGTGGGCATTGGCGGGGCTCCTAGTCGAAGTTCTGGTAAGAAGGCAACCCAGGATGGATGGGTCTGGGGCCGACTTTGACCCATAGGCGCAGACATCCAACGTCTCAGAGTCAAAGCGGAGGTATCTTAATTTTACACTGTTCCGTCCCAGGGGGACCGTTCGCGGGCCACGTGGGTCGAGGAACGAACTGGGAGGAACATCCATTCGGGGAGTTGTCCAGAGGTCCGAGGTCCACGCCTTGAGAAATCAAGACGTCGGACGCTTGGGTCGGCGTCGTCGTCGGCGGCGTCGTCGGCGGCGGCGTTGTCAACATCCTCGTCGCCTCCGCCGGCGTCGTCATCGTGCTCGCGTGGCGTTGTGGCCCCACCCGCGGGGCCCCGCACCACTGCTCCACCAGAGGAGGGGCGCGGATGTTCTATCGAGGTTCTTGGGCGCCTTTGGTGCTCCTTGGGCCTCCAGGGGCGTTCTCGTCGCCACGCCGGCATGTCTTCGAGATCCTGGCCGGAGCGCATCCAAGGAGAGATCCGGGGGCCACATTCTGACCCTCGCACCCACGGCCCCTGGGGGTCCGTGATCAAATCACGACAGAAGTCGCGACATTACGTGTTTGATCACATACCCCTTGTTGAACGCAACCAGCTGGTTGTCGCGCCACAAACCGTAGGAGACCGCTGAAGACCGCCGAAGGCCGTCGGAAGACCGCCAGAAGACCGAAGAAGACCGCCCAGGGCTGGTGGATAACAAGATGTCCATCGTCGAATACGTAAGCTGACACTTCCCCGAGGGAGGCTCTTCATCCCGCGGGTCGTTTCTTGACGGGCCCATCAGGGCCCGAGGCTCACCATTGGGCCGAGAACGGCAAAGTCGCCTCCGCCCGATTAGGCCTGCGGCGCTGGGGGTCTTGTATGCACTCGTAACTGCGCCTTTAGCTTGCAATGGCGTCGGTTAGCGCCTGGTAATCGATGAGGTCGTGACGATTTTAGCGTCGGTTCGCGTCGACCAGCATCGATTATCGTCGACTGGAGTCGATTTAGAGTCGATTAGCGTCGGCTCGCAAGAGCCAGCAAGATGGTATGGGAGGCATTCGTGAGTTGCCACAAAAGATGCTGGCCGGCGGCGCCGGGCCAGGGGTCTCTCCATGCAGGCGCGCGCCGCGGGGGGGGTGGCTCCCTGGCGGAAGCGCTCCTTCCAGCCTCCCTCTCCTCCCTGGCTCGCTGAGCCAGGGCCGCGAGGGGGCGAGGGGAGGAAGAAGGAGGAGGAGGACCAGTGCAAACCCAAAACTGATCAACGACGTTGGAATACGCCTTCCGTCCAAGCCCTCTCTTCATAGGCCCTTGCAAAGATTCATGTCGTCTGAGACTTGAAGCGTGCCAAAATACCACTCTCGGGACTCCCACACTCCTGGGACTTCAACTGCGCGAATCAACGTAACCGTTAAACCCTGGCAATCCTGAACCATTCCAAAACACCGTTTCTCGTACGTTGACCATGGGACGTCGTGAAATTCTTGCAAATGTTTGTAACGAAGATGCTCGGCGTTAAGGCGACAGCTGCATTTTGGAAACGAATCGCCCTCAATCTGCAAAACTCTTGCAATCATGTAAGACAGACGTGCGCGGTACTTAGGCCAGAGCCACGTGTTGAACTCCACTTGACCTCAATCCGCAAACCTTCGGCAATGTTTTAAGACGGACGTGCACGGCACTTCTGCGAGAGCCACATTTTGAAAACCGTTTACCTCAATCTGCGAAGCTCTTGCAATGTTGACAATTCGCGTATCCCCACCAGCCCATTCAGAAGCAGATCGCCAGGCGAGTTACGTTGACCTGGGAACTGTAGAAGAGTGCAGTGTAACAACCGCCTTGGAAGCGTTTTCTCGGAGGTCTCTTGGAGCCATCTTGGCGCTCTCTTGGGGTCCTCGCGGAGCCTCTTGGGGCAGTCTTGCGGCCTTCTTGGGGCTCTCTTGGGGCCTTCTTGGGGTCCTCTTGGGGCTCGGTGGGGAGGTCTGTGAGGCCTCTTGGAGCCATCTTGGCCCCCATGACTCTAAAAGAGGAGGGGGGAGGAAATTCAGCTCCCCCCCTGGGAGGCTCAAAAATGGCGTCTTCAGTCCCTCGTGGGGCGCTCTTTGGGCACTTTTGGGCGCTCTTGGGACTGTCTTGGAGCCTATTGACCCCCTCTCAAGGCTTCAGAGCCCATCGGAAGCGAAATTGAGAGACGACAGAACACATTAAGGGTCCTGTGGTTTTGGATCCTTTTTTGCCTCTTGGGGGGGTCCTTAGAGGGCTCGAAGAGCACTTGAAACCGTTTTGGGGTCGTCTTGAGGTCTCTTAGATTTGTGTCGAAGGCTATCTTGACCCATCCTGAGCTATCTGGAGCAATCTTGGATGCCATCTTGCGCTCTCAGAGGCCCTCGTGGAGCCGTCTTGGGCCCTCGTGGACGCTCTAACCTCTCGCGGAGCGCCCCTTCCAGGCCCAGGGGAGGGGGTAGGGGGAGGGGTGAACCGCTCCCCCGAGTAGGGGAAGGAGGGAGCTTTGCCAGAGACAAGCCAATTCGTCAAGCCACCTACGCCCAGAGGGCTGGTGGGATTCTTTAAGACGAATGTTCGCGGCGCTAAGGCGAGAGCCACATTTCGATAACGACCAGCCCTTCATCCGTGAGACTATTGGCAAATTCTAAGTTTCAGGATCATACATTGTGAGGAAATCTCAAGCGAAACGTCCAGCCCGCCCTTCCGACTGGCCTCGGGGTGCAGCAGGGAGGAGTTCTTCATACGACAAATGACTTGAGGAGGAGGGGGAGACATCGCAGTAGGGGACAGGAGCGAGGGGCGAGGAGGAGGGAGGATGAGGAGGAGGAGGAGGAGGAGGAGGAGGAGGAGGAGGAGGAGGAGGAGGAGGAGGAGGAGGAGGAGAGGAGGTGGGAGGTCAGGTAGGGAGGGAGGAGGAGGAGGAGGAGGAGGAGGAGGAGGAGGAGGAGGAGGAGGAAGAGGAGGAGGAGGATGTCCAGCCCTGCTCGATGCTTGTTCTAATCCGATCTAGCGGATCCTGGCTTCTACTCGGACGGGGCTGTGACGAGGATAAAACAGTCTTCTTTTCTCGGAACACTCTCAGAGCGTTCTGGAATTCTCTGAGAAGGCCGCGGCGCCCGGTACATCCTTCAGAGCCGTCGGCTCTCAGATACTCTCGATTTTTCCTCACCCCAAGTTGTCCTCGTCTTGGCTTCGTCTTGTGTGCCCCCATTCGTGTGCGGCCACGCGCAGAAGGGGGGTGGGGGGAGGGTGGAAGGCTTCTCAGAAGCACCCCTGCTTCTTCGAAGGCGCGGGCCTTGTCTGTAGATGCAAGGCCCGCGCCTTTTAAGAGGCAGCCTCCTTCGAAGAAGCCTTCCCCTCCTCCCCCGACCACCTTGTGCGCGCCGCCAGAGTTGGCAAATCTCGGGAGCCTTGTCGTGCCCAATCGATGGGATGGCGGCAGCTTGGCGCCGACGTAGCGCTGACCTGGCGTGGATTCGCTTAGATTTAGCATCGATCAGCGTCGACTAGCGTCGATTCGCGACGACTCGCACGAGCCAGCAAGATGGTACAAGTAGGGGTTGACTACAACATTGATTCACCCCTGAGTTGAAATTTTGCCGGGTTTGCGACAAGTGCGTAGAATGCGCGCAGATCTACGAACATTTTGCGTATTTGAGGTGCACCAATTCCGTAGTCGATTCCCTATTCGAATGACACGGGGAGCTTCCAGGAGTTGCCACCCGACAGTATGCCGTTCTCCCTTCACCCCGGAGGAGCGGGCCGCCGCCGAGCGGGGAACTGACCGCGCGCAGTGCGGCCGCGAGGTGGTCTGCGAAATGCTCATGAGGGCGAGTCTGGACGGCAGCCTCGGGCAGGTGTTCGTCGGAGGAGGGAAAGGGCCCATACCGCTATCCTCGCCCCGCTTTCGCGCCTCTTTGGGCCTCCTCGGAGGCCCTCGTCGCCACCGCCGGGTTCGCTCTGGGAGAGGTCCAGGGAGTAGTGGTATCTGTACCAATTTCACCGATCCCTACCCCATCCCCATCCCCATCCCCATCCCCACCATCCCATCCCTGCAGTTGAGGACCCGTGCCCCGCGAAGCCCGCAGGGAGCGGCCCAGCAGAACTCGGGTCGGGCGAAGGGGGGGGTTTGGGAAAGGGGGGGTTACGAAATCTGCTGCATGCAGCTGGTTTCGGCCCCGCCGAGGGGCCCATTCCTCGATACATGGCCGCCTCCGGCGCCGGGAGGCGCCGGGAAAATCAGCTACGTGAGCTGATTCTCAAACCCCCCCTTTGCTATCCCCCCCTTTCGCCCGGCCCGAAGAACGCGCACTGGGAGAGGTCCTGGGAGCAGCGGTGTTGGCACCGTTTGGTTTTTGCCCAGCTCGGGGGAGCGAGAGTCGTGCAGCGGGCGCCAGGGTCAGGAGCAGACCCGGACATTCACCACCTACCAAACCACCCCAACCCAACCCGAAGGCTCAGATTTACCCTCGATTTCTAGTGGGGGGGGGTCGGGAAACATCGAAAAAACACGCGTGGAACCCTTACCCCCCCCAACCCGAAATTCGGGTCTTCGGGTTGGGTTGGGGTGGTCTGGTAGGTAGTCAGACATGCTCGCGCCGTGCACAGAAGCAGGACGGGCAGTCCTTCACACCATGTTCGGCCTCCCGGGGGCCCCTCGCTGGGCACGGGCCAGGGGCCGTCGAGCAGCTGCCCCGGGACGGAGCACCGGCCCAGGGCGAGTGGGTCGGGACTTCGGGGAAGGGCGCACTTCGAGGAGGAGGAGGAGGAGGAGGAGGAGGAGGAGGAGGAGGAGGAGGAGGAGGAGCAGGACGAGGAGGAGGAGGAGGGAGGAGGAAGAGGAGGAGGAAGAGGTGGAGGAGACGGAGGAGGAGGAGGAGGGGTCTCTTTTTCTCCGTGGGGTCTTCGCCCTCTGCCGCCAGCCCCCTCGCTGTCATCGTCGGAGGCGTCAGAGCTGCGCTGGGACGTGTCGGCGCTGTTTTGGAAAAACTCCCAGAGGCATCCTGCGAGGGCGGTTGGCATTCGGCCGTTCGTAGGTTTGGTAGGTTCGCGGGTTCGGTAGGTTCGTGGGTTCGTGGGTCCCAGCATCTGTGACTTCGGTCGGTTCGTGGGAGCCTTGGGCGGCGACATTGGCATAAGCTTGTCTTCATGTGGATTACATTTGGCTCTTCCTCCTGCTCCTCCTCGCCATTCATGTTTCTCCTCCCCTCCTCGTTCCTCTCGTCTCCCCATGTGAAGGGGCGAATCCGGTCCAAAGCCGGCCCTCTTCCAAATCCAGTCAAACTAAGGATCACATCGGCTGGGCTCATCTTCAGTATTCCTTGGTCTTGTCTTTTTGGTTGCGTTGAAGGTCCTGACAAGAGAGCTGAACACGCTAAATCAACTATTTGAGTTCAGCGGTTTCAGGTATGTTGATTGCCATCGGGGGAGCCCGCTGCGGACGGGCCGTGGGTTTCCAGGCCTGTTTCGCCCTGGTGTCAGAGCGTTTTGTACCGGTCTCGGCCAGCCCTGCGCACGAAGACCAGGTTCAGCCCCCGCCCCATCTATGTTACAACAAAGCAGAAACGCGAAACAACGAATCTATAAACAGCACAGCATGATCATGTTGTTTGAGACGTTCTCAGCTGGTCAAAAATCCCAATGTGGGTAACTAAAAAACGCCCAGGACTTTGCGAAGATGCACTGTGCAAATCGGTTAGCGCGTGAGGTCACGTGGGCTCCCATGGAGCAGACACTCAAGGTTCGCGCCTCGTCGACGCCGCAGCGACCCCAGCGCGGGCGTTCAAGGCTGCACGTGGCCAGCGGCCCAGAATCGGCCGATATCGAAGGATCTGCAGAGCCCATTTCGACTCCTCTGACCCGATTCGATTCCGATCGATCCCGAGTCCGATCCGATTTGACCGCTGATGTCGATGTGGAGCTCGATTTCTACACGGAGGCCCTACTGGCCTGCCGACCTCTGCCGATGCGACTTCTTCTGACTCGGTTGCCGATGTCCGCCGATCCAGCTCGCGTCGATCGCCACTTCGACTCTTCGATTCGATGTTGTGCCCCCCTGCCTCTGTGATGACAAGCAGGCTTGCTCTGCGACACGACGGTGCGGGATACCTCGGTCGCAGATCACGGGGGCCTCGCACGCCCTCGTCACTCTGTGCGTCTGGGAGCGTCTGGTGATCGACGAGCCAGCGCCGGCTTCGCGCCGATGAGAGCGCCGACGCGTGCCATCGCAGAGGCGCGATCGTCCAGGGTGGACCGACCCGCGCGAGGGGCAGAAGCCGAAGGCGCGCAGAAGCCGCCACGGCGAGCACCCGCCGTGCGCCCTCGGGGGGCCCGACCCGGAGCGCGCAGGTGCACCGCCCCCTTGGCCCCGGGATGGGCCTGGCGTGGCTCCACGAGGAGGAGGAGGAGGACGAGGAGGACGAGGGGCTCCAGAGCATGTGGTTCGTGCAGACGTGTTGGGGTGGCCAGACTCTCGGGCCCGAGGACTGCCGCGCCTCGCGCGTCGCGGCCTCGGCCCGAGCGGCCTCCCTTCTCCCAGGGGGGGGGGGGCTGCGCGGGGGCGCATGGCTGAGGGAAGGAGGGAAGGGGCCTGGCTGTCGGCGCACCGACCCGGCGCCCCGAGGGAAGGAGCACGGGCGCCACCGGGGCCGGGGCGCGGTGGCCATGGCCAGACACCCCCCAGCCCCCAGGATCCCGAGCCTCGTCCACATCCGCTGCGCCCCTGGTTTCTGGGGAAGGGCGCCCAGAACTCTAAGACGCCGTGGATCTGAAATCACCATCCTTGATGCGAGCGGTCCTGAGGGAATCGCGGATCCCAGGGCCTTCCTCCGGAATAGTCTCTGAGAGTCATGGGTTGATTTCTGACAGTTCTGGGGCCCGCGGAGGGCTCCAGAAGCCCCAAACTTGAAGTTATTTTGGCGAAGGACCCAACCATATATGCAGTTGTGAGCACCTTGTTCTAGCACCGCTTTCGGTGGAGTTCCCTATGGCGCCACGAACTGTGTGAGAGTTGCGCCAAAATGGGGCGGCACCGCCATGCGAACCCCGCCACTGGGGCCTTCAGAGGAGCTCCCTATGGGACCACGAACCGTGTGAGGGGTGCGCCAAAAAGGGGCGGAGCCGCCATGTGGACCCTGCCACCGGGGCCTTCGGCTGAGGTCGCTATGGGGCCACGGACCGTGTGAAGGGTGCGCCCAAATGGGGCGGCGCCGCCTTGTCGACCCTGCTACAGGCGCCTTCGGCTGAAGTCGCTATGGGGCCACGGGCCGTGAGAGGGGAGCGCCAAAATGAGACGGCGCTGCCATTTGGACTCTGACACTGGGGCCTTCGGTGGAGCTCCCTATGCGGCCACGCACCGTGTGATGGGTGCGCCACAATGGGGGCGGCGCCGCTATGTGGACCCTGCTACTGGGGACCTCGGTGGAGCTCCCTTTGGGGCCATGTACACCTTAGGCGATGCTTAAGAAAACTTATGTTTTCGGCCAGAGTCTCGATTATTCTTAACGTTTCAATGTAAATCCTAAGATGTTGATCGATTTTTGGGGTTTTTATTCAAGTTCTGAGACCATTAATTTCTTAACCCATGATTTCTTAATCATTTCGCGTGGTGTACGAACCGCGTGAGGTGTGGTCCAACATAGGGCGGCGCCGCTACGTGGACCTTGCTGAAGGGGCCGTCGGTAGAGCCCCACACGCGGACCGTGTGGAAGCTGCGCCCCAATGGGGTGGCGCCGCCAGGTGGACCCTAACACTGTGGCCCTCGGTGGATCTCCCTGTGGTGCTACGTGTGAGGGATGCGCCAAAAATGGGCGGCGTCGCCATCGCCATGTGGGACCTCGGGGGAGCTCCCTTTGGGGCTATATACGAGCCGCGTGAGGTGTGGGCCAAAATGGGGCGGCGCCGATATGTGGAGCTTGCTACACGGACCGTCGGTGGAGCTCCGTATGGCGCCACGAACTGAGTGGTGGAGGGCGCCAGAATGGGGCGGCGCCGCCATTTGGACCCTGTCGCCGAGGCCTTCGGTAGAGCTCCCTACGAGGCCACGAAGCGTTGCAGTGGATGTGCCAAGACGCAGACATGCGGAGGGCAGAGGCAGGGAGGGGAGGAGGGAGGATGGGGAGGAGCAGCAAGAGAAGGCATGCGGGCCGCCGCGTCTTCAGCACGAGGACCCAGCACCTCAGGACGGCTGGAACAAAACACCCGCGGACCCGTTTCCTCAGGATCCGTTTGTCAAGGGCGCCCTCGAGGGCGCGAAGTTATTCGCGCTTCGCGCTTCGCGGTTCGGCTCCGATTCCTCCTCATCCTCCTCTTCTCCCTTGGGAGGCGGCGCGAGAGCGCGAAGTTATTCGCACTTCGCGCTTCGCGCAGCGCGAAGCGCGAAGTTGGGAGCCCTTGGTTTGTTATGGCGACATGTCTTGCCCGCAGCCAGGTCCTCAGCGAGGTCCTCTCCGAGGGCGAGGCGGAGCCCCCCGCGCGGCGCCGCAGCCTCGACGCCATCCTGGCCGGCCCTGCGCCCCCCCCGGCGGGCGGCCCCCCTGCCGCGGCGGGGCACTTCCCGCCGCAGGCACTCCCTGCCCCAGAGCCGCCCGCCGCGGCGCCGCCGGTGCTGGACGTCGAGGCCCCGTGCCCTCCCATGTCGGGGGCGGCGGGGGGTCGGAGGTGGCCCAGCGCTGGTTCCGGCCAGCAGGAGCGGGGGGCGAGGTTCGAGGTGCTGGTTTCGGAGTGGTGTTTGGGTCTCTCCTGGCTCCTGGGGCCGTTTTCGGGTCCCAGGTCCGTCGGGAACGGATCTGGGTGAATTCCTACACCAGATGAGCCCCGAGAGGGGTCGGAGGAGTGATCTTGAACAGATTTTGCAGATTTGGATCCTCACTTCTTGATCGATGTCCTATGGCCCACCCAGTTCGGACCCCCCGTCCGCCTCGAACCGCGCCCTCCCGCGACTCGTATTGCCGACGACTTTTTGTTCTTTCCACAGCAGCTTGTCTGGAAGGGTTCTGTGCACGTCTTGAGGAAACTGGCAGGTGCAGTGCCAGATCCAGAATTGGCGGGCGACGTTCTCTCCCGTGGTCTCCAGTTCGGTCCCGTTTTCTCCTGTTCTCCAGTTGTTTTCTCCCGTTGTTTCCCGCTGTGTAGTAATAGTACAACTGGTTGTATATCAATCGCAGTTGTGCTAACACTCGTAGTTGTATTAGGTAGCGGACGTAGCAGTTATAGTCGTAGTCGTAGTCGTAGTCGTAGTCGTAGTCGTAGTCGTAGTAGTCGCAGTAGGAGTAGGAGTGGTAGTAGTAGTAGTAGTAGTAGTAGTAGTAGTAGCAGTAGTAGCAGTAGTAGCAGTAGTAGTAGCTGTAGTAGTAGTAGTAGTAGTAGTAGTAGTAGTAGTAGTAGTAGTAGTAGTAGTAGTAGTAGTAGTAGTAGTAGTAGTAGTAGTAGTAGTAGTAGTAGTAGTAGTAGTAGTAGTAGTAGTAGTAGTAGTAGTAGTAGGTAGTAGTAGTAGTAGTAGTAGTAGTAGTAGTAGTAGTAGTAGTAGTAGTAGTAGTAGTAGTAGTAGTAGTAGTAGTAGTAGTAGTAGTAGTAGTAGTAGTAGTAGTAGTAGTAGTAGTAGTAGTAGTAGTAGTGGTAATAGTAGTAGTAGTAGCAGGTAGTAGTAGCAGGTAGTAGTAGTAGTAGTAGTAGTAGTAGTAGTCTTAATAGTGGCAGTAGATTAAGTAGTAGTATTAATAATATTGATGGTCGTAGTAGCAGTAGTAGTGGCAGCAGTAGTAGTAGTAGTAGTAGTAG